GCAAAGAGTGGGTTCAGTTGGCATTTTCGAGCACTTGTCTCGTGCTATCTTCAAGAAACAGCACAAGAAAGAGCATCACTCTCGTCATGACTGCTGAGTATTCCGCTGGGATTACTGATTGCGTAGTACTATCGTTGTTCTGATATTAATGTTTTTGCATTTGATTTTGAGTATTTATGTTTTTAATTTAAGAAATGTTCCGTTGAAATGATGTTTTTTGGAAATGTGAAATATGCAACAATTGTTTCCGATTGAATAAGCAGTTCATCGTTCATTATGTTTCGTAGTGACAAATCCATGGACTAGTATTGAAGTTTTCGTTCATTGTGCTGTATAAAGTACAATTTTATTGAGTGTCGACCGGCATTTTCAGGCCTTTGCTACCATCGTCTCATTCTTAACATTCGCACGCAAAAATCACGCAAAACTAACTGTACAGTTCACGCCAAACCGATTATTCACCTAATTTACACAATCTATCAATCGAGAAATTGAAATCGACCAATTCTCCGGAAGTGATACGTTGAATTTGATCCACAATTACAGTTGAAATGTGTTAGTATTCAGAGTGCAAAAAGATATCGAAAAATTTAGCATATTTAGGGAGCAATGACCTATGAAAAAAGCGTTTATGGAAGGTCAGCTGAAGAAATGATTACTTTGTCAAGTGAGCGTTCAGCAAAATTTCGGTTTCAATCAAACAACGTAAGATTCTTGATGATGAATCTTGATTCATATGAGAACANTGCTCTACATGAAGATCTAAAAATGTCAAAAGTCTGAAAGCATCATTAAGGCAGAAATTTGCAACGAACTAAATCATTCGTTCCATCGATACAACGGATAACCCAAGTGAAAGTGAATGAAGAGAACCGATCGGATCGAGTGGGATCTGATGCACAAATCTATGTCATCCATACCAACAAAGAGAACATTTTTCAACGTAAATTATGGCAGTGATTTTATCATGATTTGACTGTCACTGTACTGTTTTGCAGAATGGTGCGTTAACAATGCGTACAACAGAATATAACCGGAATATTTCGCAGAAATACTTCCTGAAACGAATTCTGACTAAATGAAACTTTTGATATTAGCAGAATGGATTTCAACTGTTTTCAGAACGGCAAATTTTGAAAGTTGAATTAATGGAATGGCTGTATACACGGAGACCCTCTGTAATATGCCGTAACTGCATTCCGGAATCATGAGACTGCATTTCACATGATCATTCTAGCATACGAGATATTAACGGAGGCTAACATGATTTAACGTATAAGGTAGAGCCATCGAAATTTTACTAACAAAATTATCCGTTCGAAATTACTGAGCTGAATGTTTGAGCTGAATAATTAGATGCTAGGTAGCATTAATTGCCTAAGTTTAACTCCTACCCATTCTCGCGTTCAGCAATTAGAAAAACCGTTGAATTTTGCGTTTCAGCAACTGGATCAATCTTCAGCTCATCGATCTCCAGCTCAATGTAAGATTAACTCTCAGCTACTTGCTTTGGTTTTTCAATATGTTGCCGGTTCAGTATACAACATGAAATGTTTGTTACTAACAAGAAATCACAATTGTGTCAATCACTGTCGTAGCGAACGATCTTATGGTCATGGAAAGTGTGACCATAAGATTGAAGTATTTCCATTTTCTCGAATGAAATTTTACCAATGTTCAGCATTTGGTTGAAACGGTAATATCAGCTACGAGCGGTGAGCCTTTACAGAGCATAGAATGTCGAATGTCCCCATAAGGTGTTGGAACTTTGAACCAACGACGAAATTAACGGGCTAATTCATTATGGGTTCGTTGAAGGTTGTGTGATTAGATGATTGCATGCAGGTGATTAAGCCATGCGTGAAGTTATCGCTATTTTATGTTGATTTTAATTAGATCTTGAAGGTAAATAAGTCACCAAATCTAGTGCTTAGATTAAGAAGGTTATTGAACTCATCGTTCAAACCTATTTCTTTCGGTTTCAGCCATTTCATTTGGAAGTTTCCTTGCATTATCAAACTATGAATTGCTCGAAATAGCTCATCAGCTCGCATTTTCCTGAACTTAAAAAGATTGTTTTAACAATAAATCAAAAAATTTCTGCTAATTTTAATGAGTATACGGTGAAGTTGCTTGAATATTGCATTGATTCAAATGTAACTTGGAGAAAGTCGTAATGGCGATCATTTTTCGATACGAAAGTAGGTCATTTTTATTCGACCTAATGATAGAAGAACTTCGTATTTAAATTTGGCTTTTTTGAGCGCCATTGAGATGCGTCTGCAGTAAAGATTTTATCAGAAAGAATGGATTTGCATCCAAGATGAAACATCATCTTGATCCTAAAATGATCCTAGTTTGATCCTAAAAAAGATAAATTACCATGTGATATATGAAGGCTGATGAAAGTGAAATGACTGTTGGATCAATGGTCATTAGTGATCGATTAACGATAACGGATAAAATCGTAAAGATGTGGCATACAGAATAGAGGAAATCGCATTCGAAAGCGATAAGATTAACGTTGAAAAATATTTGCGCGATTGCTTAATGCACATTTAACTATGCGTTCAAACACAATGATGTATTGTTGCATTGTTTTAAATGCGCATTCGTTGACACACTTTTAGCAAATCGCAACAAAAGACACGCAGAATTTGTTTGAAACAAACGCCGAATCGGCAGAATTGTAACATAAAATTTCGCCGTTGATAAATGCCATCTGCATTCGCAAATTAATCCATCCGCACACAAAACTGACCATTTAGCGGTCATTTTAAAGAAAGTAAATGTGCGTTTCCATTGTTCCAACTCAGATTAGCGATCGATCGCCAGTGGATAAATTTAAAAACCAGTCCGAATGAACCCGCCTTCGGGGATTTTTGAGTGAAAGTTCGCTGGCTGGCTCAACGAAGCCGAATATAAAAGTGAAACCAAATGGACCACTTCACTCACCTTCAAGTGATCTTCAAGTGGTCGGTTGATTCACTGAGAAATCCCCAGAAATTCGATTCACCATGCTCGTCTTATCAATTGCGCTGTCTTTGATACCATTATCAAGTGCCTTCTTCTTCCCTGGAACCGGAGGTGGATGCAATTGCCCGTAAGTTATTTTTTTAAATTTTCGAAGTTTATTTCATCTAGAACTATTGCAATCCCGCCAACTTCAGAAATATTATCACTACAACAATCATACCTCAGAAATCAGCTGTGACCAATGAGAGTGCTTCTTAATGGGAATCTTATCAGTAGCCAGTTTTAAGCATAGAAAACCGCTCCTATCGAATTTGAGGAAAAAAATTTCGTTATTTAATTTCTTAATCGCTCTATAGCATCATCGATTGCTTAGGAATTGTTCGAAATCAGTGATCATTTCGAATTCATACGAATAAATGCTGTCAAAGAATTTCAACTGCTTACGATATTGCACAGTTTGTTTCTTTTCAATGCGCGAAGTCTGTTGTCTTGATGTGAACACAATTTCAATTTCAGGTCAGCTCCTCCAGTAGCCGCGCCATGTGCATGTCCTCCTCCAGTCGCCTGTCCACCACTACCATGTCTTTCGCTACCAGCACTTCCTCCACTCCAATTTCCAGCTCTGCCTCAATTCCAACTCCCGCAACTGTCATACCCTCAACCAAAATACGCCCAACCACAATACCCAACTGCTCCAATGATCGCACCACCTGCATCGTCATCTTACCAAACCGGTCCAATGGCTCCACCAGCTCAAGTGCCCTCTTATCAAACCGGTCCAATGGCTCCACCACCTCAAGTGCCCTCTTATCAAACCGGTCCAATGGTGCCAGCACCTCAAGGATCATCCTACGCAAGCCCACAGCAATACCAGAGCTATTCAAACGGACCTGACGCACCACCATACAATCCACAACAAGGTGAATACAGCGAACAGTCACCCGAATCACTCGTCAACTCTCAGCCAGGTGATTACGCGAATAATCGTTACTCAGAAGGA